ACACAGTATATCACTTTTTCTCCCCCACCTTTTTTCCTTTCTCTTCCTTCTATTGCAATACATCCTAAAATGGTTATCATGGTCCATTTAATTTTTTGGGTATGGTAAGTTATGGATTACGCACACAAAGCTAAGGTCATTTGCCATTCGTTTTGTTCCCCACGGAAAGTTAACCAGATGATTCTATTAAATTGTAGTAGTAGGTGCAATTATATGAACCTATATCTTGTTAATTGTCACCCTACGTGCTGATGCTATCCTTTTTATTTGTATGGATATTCTCATTGATGTAAGGATGTCTGGTTTTGCAATTGGCTATCCATCAAGATGATGAAACATTTTGGAATACCAGGAAGTCCGTACGAGGGTGGGCTCATTTTGAATATGAAATTGGGATCTTTATGCTTTGTCTAAGAAAAAGATGTGAGGAATATTAATATGGCGTGACATTGGTCAGAATTAAACAGATGAGGTTGTTTGCCCGTGGTATCTCCACCAACAAGACCTACCAAGCATTTATTAAAAGGAAAATAGAAATGTGATTTGATGAACATGAAAATGGCACTACACTACACTACAGTGGTCCTGTAATGCAGCTTTCTTTGCACCCATTAATAAGTTGCAATGAGCCATTAATTGTCCTTTAAAACATAAAGCTTGTGATGTGATTTATATATGTGGAAAATGCAATTGCAAGGTCATGATCATCTTGTTTTGAATTGAAGTTGTCCAAATGGCAAACATCTTTGGATTCCCCCGCTTGACATGCACAGATCTTCATATATAAAGTCGACGGTAATAAATGTCTGCGCTGATTAGTCAAAACATTGGGACATAGCTTTCCTGTTGAGCTTATGGCTCGAGATTTGAGACTCCAGACCCGACCACCTCATCCTCTCACTCCCACCGTTTTTAAACACACAACCATCACCTCTTGTTGCTTCTGTTTTAATGTATAACACTAATCGTGTAATAGTGGTTAAAGTTTAATCAAATGCTACACAATTTGAATTCTAATTTTAAATATTATACATTTTTTTGTTTGATGTATAAATTAACCTAGTGTAGTTGTAAAATTGATAACTAAAAATGAATAAGTATTAGTAACAAATTATATATATTATTTAAAGTTGAAGGCTCATGGATGTTGTTGTATTTATTATGTGTTTATGGTTGATAAGATATAGTATTAGTGATGGATATTTGGGAGTGATTGTTGTTGATAATAATGTGAGATGGAATGCAAAGTCAAAGGATGTTAGGAGTGAGATTTGAAGTGCAGGGTAGGGGAGATGCAGGCGACATGTAAATTAGGGGAGGGCCCGAGAAATGAGGGTGGTGTGGAAGATGCTTAGTGATGAGCATTATGATGAGCCCATAATTGAAAAGAGTGGTCCCTACAGGAACAGGAACAGGAACAGGAACAGGAACAGTAAGTAACAAGAACCAAACATATCTGGTCACCATGGGTGGTCCCCCACGTGACCCAACTCTTCAATTCGCACCACGTGCTCTTGTCCCCTCCACGCGGGTCCCACACCCCGCCGTACCAACCAGCATTTATTGCTATCACATGGCCATGCCTGCAGCCTACCATGCTCGGAGAATCTCGGCCGTCCATTCCACACACACCGCTTTGACCCCCATTTTACTATAAATACATCCCTTCTCATTTTTATATTTTTAATTACTACTGCTCTCAACATGCTCTTTATTAAACCATACATACTAGTACAAATTATCATGATTTTAAGTGCAATCTGTAAAATTTATTTGATACAGTAATTAAAGATTTAAAGTTAAATTTATCGATGTAATTAAAGATTTAAAGTTAATTTTGAAATGGTGTTTTATGAGTCACTCAGGACTCAGGAGTGGTCCAGGTGAAGAGAAGTGATATAATGGTGTTGTTCCTCCTCGTTACTCGGGTTCTTTACTCCCTTCTCCCCATCCTACGCTCCCGCTGACACCGACATGTCTCTGTAGCCCTTCGATCCTCTCATTCAACGGCTCTGATTCTCCCATTCCCTATTCGCCGTCTTTCCCATGACGTCTTTCACTCTTCACTACTCTTCACGCTCCCACCCATACCCCAACTTCATGCATGCATGCATCATATTCATAATTCATGCATGTGCATTAGTATCATTCACCTTCCATTCCTCAATTTTCACAAGCTGCATGTCCTCTGTCCTAATTAATTTTCACCTACCTAACATACGCTGTCCCATTTTCCTCTTTTATTCACATACATGCTGAGACAAAAGTTCTATGCCTTAAGCTTCCACGCCTTCAAAACTTTCTTTTCTAATGTTACATCTTCTGCTCAACAAAATACATAACTGCTCCTTTTGCCGCAGGACTCTCTTCTGTAACGCGCCTACTGCTCTACTCTTTATACATACAATTACGTACTTCACCTAATTAATTCATACTACCTTCTACTTTCTTCTGCTTTATTAAGATACTATCAAATCTCTAACGTCTCTGCCTTATCATATCAATTAACAAGGGAAAAAAAAATAAAACAGTACATATACCGTTTCATGAATTCAATGATTTGCATGAAATTGGCGTACCTAGTCATCAAGATACCTTACCTATAGTAATACGGTTATGCTATTTGCACACTTCTACGGATTTGGATCCTGGCATTAGTTACTATCACAATGTTATACTATATATTATTATTACATGAAGAGATAATGAAACAATTATAATAAGGCTCAATATTATTTATATATGATCTATTCATTTCATTTTGTGTATTTATCTCACATGACATTAAATTATTTTAATGGTTATTAATATCAGAAATCTTAATCTCTCATTTAGTATGAATCAACCAGTGTACGTGGTGTGGATGTCAATTGTTGATTTTTTTTTATCAGCAACTAATATTTCTTATTACTTTATCCTCTATAGTGACTTGCTCAGTTTTAAAAAACCAAATCTTCTAAAAAGAACTTATGAGAGTTATAAGATATATTTTCGTAAATTCAAATAAGCTTCTTATAATAGTTTTTCCAAACATTATATCAATTATGTTGATGAATACCAACTTATAAAATAATGATATTACGAATAAGAATAATATATTTTTGAATAAAACTCGTGTGCTTGTTACCTTAGAAGAAAGGAATAATAAAGATTCAAGCACAAGTAATAACGTAAAATGATATGAGAAGTTACATAAAAACATTAAAAAAAAATATACGTATTTACAACTCACCTGATGGATCGTTAGTGTCTTGAAAATGTAAAATGAGAGGACCTATAAGAAGCTAGACATTAGACATGACACTGGTTGGAGTCAGAAGTGTATATCTGGCTCTCTTTATGATAGTTTTTATCTGCTCCCACATGAAAATTTAGTGGTCTTTAGGTGCAGTAAATCATATGCTAATTATATTACCTATAATATATTCAACAGCTCAAAACTTATACGCTACTCATTAACCCATTTCTTTCCAGATTGAATGATATATCTCTCTTCCACCCACATGACCCACATATCTTTTCTCTACTCGAATTAATTATTATACGTACAATATAGTATACTTTTTTTACATGTGATTTTCTTATGCCATTGCAAACATCCTTGTGCAAGACGCATCTGTATATGAACATGGCACAAGTATAAATCCTTATTTTTTTAGCATGCTAACACGCATATATAGATGTGTGCTTATTAGAAACATTTTAAGCGTATAACTGCTCAGGCTATTAGTAAATGAAAATGTTTTATATAATATGTAAACTACCTTTATTTTCAAAAATATTTCAACGAAAAATGGTGGTGAAGAAATAAATATAAAGACATGGCTACACTTTGTTTTTTATATATAATTGAAAGAATTAGAGACTGGTAATTTTTACATTGAGTCCAATAATTGACGAGACTGGTGTAGCACAAAAGGCTGAGACTATTTTGTCTAGCTCAACTAGACCATCCAGGTAGTTCTCTTGTCTACAGTATCATTGTAGCCATTTAATTTCATATTTAACGTTAAATTAACGAGCGAGTGTACAGATATTTAATATCAAATAAAATACAGTGGCTAGATAAAAGAAAAGAGAAGTGAAAAAGAAAAGTATGTCATTGTGATATGATGTGGCCGTGCGGGTAAAGTATGGTACAGTTGAGTTTGAAAGTAGGGATAACAAAAGGCTAAAAATAATAAGGCAATGATGAAAGAATCGCATTAAAGACATACTTGTCTCGTGTCAAGTGTATTTTAAATACTCACTTTGTCTTGTTCTCTGTGTAGTGTTTGACTACCACCCACTGTTGCTAGCAGGTTACGGGTCGGTTGGTTGACCGGCACCACCAGGTCATTCCCATAACAATTTCTTTTTTATACATAAAAAAGTTAATCATTTGACAAAAACAATGATAAACTAAAAATTCATTCTCCCTAACCAACATGGAAACTTATAAGCATATTTGATTCCTATAAATTATTTCATATAAGTGAAAAGTATCACCATGTTATTCAATGAATCTTAAAAATAATATTAAAAAAAATCATGTTTAAGATCAGATATTTCACTAAGTTTATTGATCAGATTTTTCTACAAAATTAATCATTATTAAAATTGATAAATATTTCATAAGATTAATGAATATTTTGAACCAATGACGTGATTATAAAAAAAATATAAGTAAAAAATTCTAACATGATCATATGACAATATAACTTACCAAAAATTCTTAATAAGAATGTAACTGTGTGCTTTCACTTTATGAAAATATAACTTACCAAAAATTATAAAAATTCATATCACCGAAAGAGTTTTACATTCTTATTAAATTACAAAAAAAAATGGATGAATGTAACTGTGTGCTTTCACTTTAGGTAACCGAATTTAGTAAATCATGAGTAAATTTCGTTACATAAAACGAATCGAAATCACTTGGATGTTGTTTGTTCAAAGAATTTCTCCGTCTTTTGTGGTGTTGAGTTAACTACGTACGATACTTGGGGATATTTTGTTTTTGTTTTTGTTTATGTTTATCTTATCTCACACGCACCTCAGTAGTTAGTTTAAGTTCCGTTTTGCATAAGCTAATTTTGGAACATCTGAAAGGGTGACTTAAAAGCAGCATTAGTGTGGTGTGAGTCAGTGCTTTCTTTTTTTTTTTTTTTTCTCTCTCTCTCTCACACATGGGTCTCTTATATAAGAAGGTATATGTGGGTTAGGGTTTTGAGGGAGAGAACAGGAAAAGGTGTTGTTGAGATGGGTTGGTATTGAGGGGAATGTTGGCTGGCTCGAGGCTTTTCACAAAGGAGGTTCACAGTGGTTGGAACTATAAGGCTTCGGACCAGGCTTCATTCCCCTCAAAAGTACTTGTTCATTTGGCTTATATCTTTCTAATCATCATCATCATCGTTTCAACTTCTTCAAACTTCAAACACAAATAGGTTCTTTCTATACACATGTCATGTGCGTTTGTGTGTTCTTTCCTTGCAAAGGTGAGGTTGAGAGGAATGTTGTCTGGCTCGAGGTCATGGAGTACTGAGATCAGTGAAAGTTTCCAATGGAAATTTACCCTCTAACCCATCTCGGACCAGGCTTCATTCCCCCCACCCAACTTTTGCTGCTATTTCCTTTCAATTTCCTTTTTGCATGCCCTCATGGTAAGCCTTTCTCTTCCTTTTATTTTTCTCTCAATTTCCATAACTAAAAAGAATAATGCTCTTTTACTGTTTGTTTTTGCAAGCTCAGAATTTTCATCTCACTGCCAATCTTGTGTGTTTTATAAAGGTTGTGGTTTCGTTACCTTCGTTTGTGAATGTTAGTGATGGCTGAATCAATTTGTTTACATATGTGGAAAGAAAAAGAAAACAAGAGATTGAGTTTGCATCTGTTCAGATTATGTAACTGTGCTCAAGTCTCCCATGTATAGATTTAGTTTTCCTCACTAATTTGAAGCATTTGTATGAAGAATTAGTCCATGCTTGAAAATCTATTAATTTCAAGAAATAATCTTATTTTTTAAATAAATGATTTTCTTTTCAAAATGGACTTTTTCTTTGTGTTTCTATATTTTCTCTCTCACACACAAAGAGAGAGAAAATGGCATGTACTACTATACCACAAAGCAAATCTGTCTAGTTTTCTGGTACATTATTAATTTTAGATTAACATTTGAAAGAGATAAGATACTGTTACTGTGAATAATGAATATATTATTAACAAATACGATGGCTAATCCCAGGCCATAACACCTGCGGCCTGCGGGAATGTTTATTTCACGTGGACAAGAAAGCTGAATGAAAGCATCAACAGTGAAAACCTATCAGATGTGAAATTCTTTATTTTCTGCAACTAGCTGCTATGCCTCTTAGGTCTTTCTAGCGTTTCAAACATATCATCCTTCTTCTGAAGTCCTTTCAGCTTTTTTTCAATTAACCCGTTTTCAGGCCGGTGAAAATTATAGGGAATGCAACCTCACAACAATTTACTCGGGAAACAGGCTAGCCATCATTTTCATGAACATCTGAATGAATGTACTTCAGGTAAATCAACAGTTACCCTGTCAAGCAACAAATAAATATACATTTAATAAGTCATTAATTAAATTAATGATCATATAACGCACCTTGAACTGAACATATGATACATCTGAATATTTATGAGTGTGATGTGAGCTTTTGAAACATGATGCACTGCTGAATTTATTATAGTATTGTTGTGCAGTGAAATGACAGTGATGAGTGTTGGAAGCATGCACTCACTAGATGCTGAAGTTGCTGAGGCAAATACGTGTGAATGAGTTAATGAATGAAAGAAGGGATCCATGAGAACATTGAGAAGAGATAAGAGATCAATGTGCTGGAACAGTTAACGAGAAGAAGTGAGAATCAGGAGAAGCTAGTTAGGGATTCTATGTGTCTGTCATGTCACTCTTGCTAAGTAGCTAGAGATCAGATATATGATATGATTATGATTTATGACCACACCATGCATGCCAGCTTCCATTATCATGACGACCCAGATGTTGTATGAATCTAGCTGCATGCATAACTAAACCTGGAAAAAAGAGAAGGAGAAAATAGAGCTTCTCTTTTCTTCTATTCCATTATTACTATTGTGTGTGTTTTAGTGTAATGTATTTATGGAGCTTCTAAAGTTGTTGAAAATGCAGAAACCATGAAAGGAAAAGGCTTGGATCAGCAATATCAGCTTCATGCGCCTTTTCGTGCAGTCATAGTAATACTGAGACGAGATCTTTTGGCTAGCATTTGAAATTGAAAAGCATTTGGAGAGAGAGAAAGAGAGTAAATTAATGAAGAGTATCTGATGGTTTCTTGGGAAATGAAACTGAGAGAAAGACACAGCTACTCGGGGATCGCTTCATGACAAACTTGGTCTCTTTAAAGAAGTGAAACAATTGCACTCATTTATTGTTGACAGCTTCATCATCAATTTATTATCATTTGAGCTTCCTGCTACCTTTTCCACTGTCAGCCAGCTATGCCAGCAATAAAATCTTCAAAAACAAAGTTAAACTTTCCCAAGAATACTAATACTAATGATAAACAAATTCAATATATTGTGTAATGTTTGTTTACTTACGAATATAGTGATAAATTTGCGTAACTCACTTGCCATTTTTTAAAAATACCAAGCATCGATTTTATAATTCTTATAATTATTTTGTCACTAGTTTATATATAGTTTTATTTAATCAAACATTTTATCTTATTAACCTTCTAAGATATAGATTGTTGTTCGTTTTTTTGACTATGTTAAAATAATATCTTCTAATCAATAAAAATAATATTTGATTGGCGAAAGTTAAACTTCAGTAAATTAGTTTTTGATTATTAATTTTAGAATATTGTGTGAATCATATTTATAGATAAATTGACCTTCTAAGATATAAATAGTCGAATGTTTTTAAGTTCGATTTTTAATTATGTTAAAATAATATCTAATCAATAAAAATAATAATATTTAGTCAGTAAAAGTTAAACTTCATAGATGCAAATTAGTTTTTGATTATTAACTTTAAAATATTGTGTGCATCATGTTTATAGATAAATAAGAAAAATAAAAATAAAAAAGATATAGCTTCATTTTCATGTGTAGATACTTAGTTAGATGAGGCATGCATCCAATTTAAATCTTTCCGTCATTGATCAGTCAAATTTTTTATTAGATGCTACAGCATAAAAAACAGGTCAAAATAATGAAAATACAGCGAGTTTCTTGGATGGGGATGCAAATTAATACTTGGACTTATGTTCAAATGTTTTGCTGCCTGGCTATAATCATTTCATTTTAAATGTGTTGCTAATTTGAGTGTGCCCAAAGGGAGAGTTTCTCGAGTTCAAGTTTTGATTAAGGGGGAGGTTTCTCGATAATTTAACTTTGTTAAATATTTGGAATGAAAACTTTGTCATGCAAAATAATTTTATTAGAATTATCTCTAGTGACATAGAAAATACCTATGTTCTAAACCAAAGGGGGGAGGTTTCTACTATACTCAAAAAACTATTAAGAGCTAGGTCAGCATATGTGTTTGGTTTTATTCAAGTATATTAATTTAATTGATTTTGAGCCATCATCTTATTTTTAATCCTAAACTATTGTTTTTTGCACGTTGATCTTTTTCTCCCTTTTGCACTCCAAGTTTCCCTTCTCCTTCTATTTGGTATGCACACATATAGAAGGGAAAAGAAAAGAGAAGAGACAAAATGATTTGGGCCATCATGATTTGTTTGTTAGGAAGAAACAATGGAGGTAAGGGAAAAGAAGATATGCAATTTTTGTTGGCGCATCATGTTTCATCCCTCCCTCTCAGGGAGGTTGGAAAAGGAAATGTATACAGTACTAGAGTGGCAATATATGTCTTCATTCGTTTTGTTTTGAACCCATTGCACGTGTATGAATCCAGCTGGTTTTTGACATGAGCTTAACAATTGTGCAAGTTAATTTCTTCATCACTGATCTCACACTATCCAAGCGACTTGTATGTATATAGCCATCTGACCCAAGGATCGATATCAAACATGACTTTTGGAAGATTCTGAGATCAAGCAATAATGTATGTTTATATAATCTTGTGATTCTCAAATTATTCTATCTTTTTTTTTTCTATAACATTATATCATCTATTTATTTATTTTTTTCTCTCTTTTGTCTTTCTCATTAAGTGTCAAATAGTTCATCAAGAGTCCTAAAATCATTTCCTATTACGCTTAGCATCTATATATTGATTATGTGCTCAGTTATTATTGAGAGGGTATTAATTTATTTGATAGACATTCTTAGGATGGGATTCAATTAAGTGACAAAAGTTTTTTAATATCTCCTTTTTCTGTTCAGGAGATAAAGGAAGTAGTATGGAGTTGTGAGAGGGAAACAAAAGCCCTGACCCTACTGGCTTCAATATTTCCTTTTAATAATTACTAAAGTACTCTAAAAGTTGAGGTGTATGAATTCATGGAGGAGTTTTACATGCTATTGAGCTAGAGTTCCCTAAAGGTAACACTTTCTTTTTCTAGCTTTGGTACCTCAAAATGACAATACTCGGTCTCTATCTTGATTTATACTGATTTCCTTATAAATCGGTGGTATGTATATATAAAATCATATTAAAAAAATTTGCAGCTAGATTTACAAAGGTGCGCTGATGGGAGTCATCTCTAAATGTCATAAACTTTTCTTCCAAAACAAATATTAGATGGTAAGTCCATACTGAATGAACTGGTTGATTCTGCAAAGAATTATATATTGTTTGATAAAATTAATTATGAAAAGACTTATGATTTGATCAATTGAAATTTGTTAAGTTATTTGATGAGCATCATGAGTTTATGTAATAAAAGGAGAAATTGAATTAGAGCTATTATCTTTTCATGATATACAAATTAAATGGATAGACTACTTATGACCCACTTGAGGCACTAGAATGTAAGTGGATGTACAAAATAAAACACAACTCTAATGATATATATAGGATTAAACTATATTGGGATATTTTCTCTTGTAGCATGCAAACAAATTATAGTGAGAATAATTATTGCATGCTTTAACAATAACAAATAATTGGAAATTACATAAAATAGATGTCCATAAAGTTTTTTAATCATGGTGAGTTATAAGAAGCGCTCATGATGACTCCTTTGAGTTTTCCTGCATAACAACAAAAAATGAATGACGAACTTTGAAAATTACCCGTATTAAAACAAGTTCTTAGATGTTAGTTTGTAAAGTTGTATATTGTTGGAAGGATTTTGCTTAATGGTATTTGAATTTGAAGATTGTTGGTACAACTAAAGTGTGATTATTCAATAATGAAGAAATGAAAAGAAAGATACAATCTCAAGGGCATGTGTAAAACACTAATATCTTTAAGTTTAATTTTCCCTACCAATGAATTGGATGTAAGAGGGTGTACCAACGAATCTCCTTCAGGATAAAATGAGTTCCTTGATGTGGTTTGCACACTCACGTTGAGTGAATGGTCAATGGTAGTTTACAATATATTAATTTTCTCAATTTTGTCTACTCAAGGGGTGAAAAGAAATAATTTGAATATAGAGAATTGGATAATTTGTGTTTTTGTAGTTGTTTGCTTCTTCTTTTATTTTATTTTGCATGTATACCAAATCTATATGTATAGACCATTGCATGCCATTTGGTGAAGAGAGATAACATACATTTGAAAGAGACATTGATGAAATATAACATCTATTAACTTTTGGTAAAGAGATATAACTTTTTAAAAAATAATTTCACAGCTTTTGGTAAAAAAAAATGTTACATCTATTAACTTTTAATAGAGTTATATTTCATGACCCTTGTTGAAGAGTCACAACAATCATATCTCTTAATGAAGAGTCACAAACTCATGACTCTTAGTTAACAGTCATACATCTCGTGACTCTTAGTAAAGAGTCACTTTCATGACTTTGCATAAAGAGACATAAAACTTCATGAAAAGATAAAAATCTTTTATTAATTTTAAAAATCTCTCACATATATTATTATGTTACTACAACTTCACACATCCTACTTTAATTACTTTCGCTTCTCACCGCAAGAAAATGAACTCTTAGCTTATGGTGTTGGCTGATGTGTATAACTTATCAATAGAACGCAATGATCATGTAGCCATTAGGAAGTTCAAATCATATCTGAGTGATTGCTTTCATACGAAAGACATGAGCAATCTAAAATATTTCTTGGGTGTTAAGATAGGTTACTTGAAGTACAACTAGTATGTTTCCTTGTTAAAGGAAATATACTTTAGATATCATCATGGAATTGAACTCAACTTATTGGGAGTTAAACTTGCCCAAATATCTTATAAATAAAATCATCGATTAGCTTTGGCAAAGAGGGTCCTTTACTAGCTAATCTTAGCAAAGTACCGATAGCCTACTAATGTACTTGTGTTTTACTTGTCTTAATTTCATACTAATTTCATGTGTTGTCCTAGTTTATGCAACAACTATGTATTAAGTACTTGGATGTTGCACTCAAGGTGGTTCCATACTTAAAAGGTAATATTAGGCCAAGAAAATTTGTTATTTGGTTCATGCGATCTATAAATTGATGGAAAATTCAATCGACTAACTTATAAATTTTACCAAACACACTCTTTATATATTATTTGTTCATCAAGAAGAAAAACTATTCATTATAGATAAATTAGCTCAATAAATGTGAATTGCTCATTATTATAGACAAGTCTTTTTTTAAAGAGTTAATCATCTATACACTGTCAGTGTAGAGTTTTTTACAGTGGCAACCAATCATATTTTTTAAATTATTTTATTTTATTTTTATTTTATTAAATAAGCAACTAACATGGCACTATTAAAAGTTATGATTGGTTGTCAGTGTAAAAAAACTTTACACTAACAATGTATAAGTAATTAACTCTTTTTTAAATTAGTGATTAATTATATTAAGAATTTTGTTACAGCAATATTTTCTTTAATTAATTGACCAACTATATTAGAAATATTGTTATTATAATGATTATCTAAATTTTAGGAGTAACAACAACTAACTATATTTGTGTAAATTTAAACGTATCAATGGAAAAAAGCAAGTTTTTATAACCAAAGAAACTAGATTCATTACTCGTCTGATGCTCGGATTATTTTGGTAACTCGTATGATATGATATCTAAACTTTTTGCATATGATAGTTGATATATATAAGTTGTATTAATTTTTATATTATCTTTGTTTCTTTATAATAGTGGTTTAAAGTTGTATTATATATACCAAAAAATATAATAAATTCTTCTATTATTCATAAAATGATTTTAATGTTTTCTATTATACTCTCTTCCATTTTTTATTCCTAATAAATGTATAATAATTGTCATGTGTAAATTAATTAAAAGTTAAGTGATATGCAAGAATATAATTGATAAAATAGTAATTAATGTTGTCTTAAAATTTAAAAATAATAAGCAAATATAAATAAAAATTTATTAAAAATTTGACAGATAAAAAAGAACAAATAAAATATTATATAATTTAATAAAATTATGCTTATTTAAATAAACAGTAATTTTTTTTCTTCTTTATGAAAACCTTAAATACATTTTCTAAAAGATCCTCCTATTTTCGTTAGAGAACAAAAAAAATAAGACTTGGTAGTATAAAGTAATAAAACCTATTAATGAGAACATACATTGTAAAAAGAAGTACAATTTTAAATTTTAACTCTTCCTATACACATGAAGGGAAAAGTTTATAATAAAAAAAAATAGCAATGCATTTTCAAGAGCAAAAATCATGCCAAATAATTTCAATTAATAGAGAGATTACTACCGGTAACTTTAGTTAGATTTAGAGAAAAATATAATGAATTAATATTAAAATATAATGAATTCAGTTCAAAATAATACAACACCGTTTGACTAGACAGACTGAACTGTCACATTCTGGTCTAAATTTGAAAATATTATTTTTAAATTATATTTATAAATCAATATATATGAAACATAACGATCAATATACTAAATTAAAATATAGGCGTATGACAACACGTGCGACAATATAATAAACAAATTATTTAAAAATATTTATTACTATACCAGAAATATAATTCACTTATGTTTTATTAAATTACATTACCTCCTTTTAAAAGATAATAATATAACATTCTCTTCCTCTCTCAATTTAATTATACACTCTATTATCAGAGAAGCAAAAACGTCTTTTCACTTTAAGTTTTTATGTTTCCTATAAAAACTCCGTTAAATCCCATTAATTTATGTTGTTAGGACCAGGATACCCTTTGTGGATAAATTTTTGTCTCTTTTTTAGCATAAAAGTGCCTTATTGCAAAAGTACCCCCATTAAGCAGAAAATCTTCCACGTGGCAACGGAGGGAGATGCTGTAGTAGCCTCCTACGTAGTATTATAATTATCCTTCATTATATTTTGATTCAGAGACCCATCATTCGTAAAGATGTAAATTGTGAAAACATCAACAACCATCACAAAGAAGCCGCTAAGTCTAAACTTGCATTAGAACCCATAATCTCCCATCGCAATATTCATTCGAGTAATACTAACTTTCAAGGAGAAAGGCACAAGCATTTGCATATCTCAAGAAGGGGAGAATAATCTCCTCTTTATTTTGTTGATGATAACTTTTTACTTGCATTTTCCTAATATCAACCCTTAAGTTAATGTTAACAAAACCAATCAATTTTATTTTACTCAAGATATTTTTAAACGAGTTTCATAACTAAAACTGGTATTTTTCATCAGATACTTGAGAAAAAAATTTGAATTCACTAAGAACACTCAACAATTTTTCTCATTAGTGGTAATAATAGTACAACTACAAGGATTTCATGAAATTATATTTGGCCGGATTACAATATACAGTGTGTAGGGTGTTAGACGCAAGACGACAGTAAATGGAAAGCCTAACCATGCCGCCGCACATTTTTTGCTCTTACTACATTAGCCACTTCGTGGAGCTAATCTTTGTGTGTCTATTTCCAAAAATGGTCCTATAAAAAGGGATTAAAGGGCAAAAAGTGAAAAACCCGTGTATGGATATTTAAGAAAGATTGATGGCCATCTCCTGGAGAAGAACTTTCTTCTGAGATGCATTAATAATGCCATTGCACTCCGCATCTAGTAACACCTCTGTCATAATTGCAGTTGCTCGTCCTTTAGGCTCCTCTTCTGAAGTCCTTCTCAACATGAATGCCTGAATGTACAAATTAAGACCTTCATCAAATCAACACACTTCCATATAAAAGTGAAATTTGGTTCTATTCAGAATTCTTGTTAAACTGTGCACAGTTGCGAATGCTTAAATTTGAAGAGATCAGTAAAATTAACCTATTCAATCCTCCATTCTTTTTTATTTTGTTCTAACGTTTGAAGTTCTAACACAGGAATTGAAAAATGTAATTTCATAATATTATTATATTTGTCTTTCATATTAGTTAATAATTACATTCTCTAACATAAACTTCTATTTTTATTTTCTCACCCTATAATAAATAGTTAAGAGTATAATAGAAAATAATATTTAATGTTTCGTGGTATTGTAAAATAACAACTAGAATGAGATAACTTTTTTTCTTTTCACTAAAACATCAAACAAAACGAGTAAAACAAGGTATTGCCTCTTCGGCTAATCAGACATTAAACCCTCAGACGTGTTAATCTGCATATATTTTCCTCCCAGGGATTGAAAGGAGATACAAACCATTTTTAATTATTGCAACAGGGACGAGCAGTCTGTCA